CATTCACGTGGTTGACGTTGGAGAACGATACATCTAAAAACATCTTTAGACATTGACAATTGTGCTTACTGTGGCGGCCGACAGCTTCTGGACTCTGTCACTTGCGAATTTTTGCAGCTAGTGCGCATACATATTATCCAGGTTCTAGAAACTGTATAAATAAGATTGTAGCTGTCGCCTGTTGATTGACTGAGATCGGTCCAACAACATGAAACTGCCGTCATTTTTTCTTTTGCTCAAGTGGGGCACATGCGTGTTGTCCAGGTTTAACCCCTCCAGACTGGATGTAGCATAATGCTACATAGCCTATCCACTAAAGCTGAAGATCTCACCTTAAGCGCTTTTTGACTTGATGTTTGTATGGGTGCCCTTTCCCCCGTTCAAAGGGGTATACTAACTTTAATTCAAGCATCGGTTTAGTTTCTGTACGAGCCTTTCTGTGAACAGAAGGGTTAGGAGGGTCATTTGTCTAAATTCCAAAACTACTTTATGCGAAGTGCAACTGAGTTGCATCGGGAATCACAGGTAAATAGCACGTGACCGCCTAGACGAGTGGCTGAAAACCACTGGCTGTTGCCGCCTTTTCCAAATTCTCCTCATTCGTGAATTTGCGGCCCAAAGGACCTAAGTCGTGAGAAGTAATGGTAAAACCGCGCGGGAAGATCCCACGGGATACCGAGGTCACAGGACGCGACCTAAGAAATGACGGGTGGACGAGAAAGCCACCACCACGCAGCAGCTTGGACGACCGCTACAAGTACATCCGCCCCGAGGGACACCCAAACGGCACAGTGGGATTGATTACTTCTTGGGGGAGGTTGCCGTACTTGACTTTTATGCAGATGGTACGTCTGAAACACCTGCTGCTATCGTCACGCTTGCTAACATTTGCTTGTCATATTTAGTAATCGAAGTCGCGCACGAGGATCTATTCCGCGGGGCGCTGCCGTAGTAGTCGCGTCAAGTGCTACCGGGGACGATCAACTTGCTGTTGCATGAGAAGCTGTTCGCCATAACCCCCTGCCGAATATTGAACCTGATGCAGCACGAGGAACAGCGATCAGTCGGGGTGAGGCTACAGTGAATGCTGCAGGTAAATCTGCATTTTATGCTGAATGAAATGATGACCTTTATGAAGCATATTATGATGAATATCTAAATTGTTTTTAAAATGTATTGTAGCTACCACAAATGAAGAACCTCCACACCCTTAAGCCTCTCCGCTCCCTCAACGCCATACTACTCGACCGCCAGCCCGTCGCTCACTTAAGACGACTACGATCTTCAATACATCGCCTCCGAGTACACCACCTCAGCTTCTCCGCTTAGTGAACCTCACCACACGTTGGAGATGACTTATTCGAGATTGGAGATTATGATCATGCTTCCAGTCCGGAGGAGAACAATAATGACGCTTCTGGAGCTTCTGCTGAGGTCCACACCGGTTTGTTGCATAGTATGCTGCAAATTATACTGCAAGGTTGTTACTGAGTGTATTGTTGTATGTCAGGTGACGAAGACAATGAAGATGATTTCGATACACTCGGAAGTGAGTTGCTGGCAGACAAACACGACAATTTGAATGCTGTTGAACCAGGCGAAAGCGCAGACCAGTACGGAGCAATTGAGTCTGGGGATGAAGCTGAAAAGGATGATGTTGACGCGGATGAATACGACTCAGACCAAGATGTGGAGGGATTTTGCACTCCTGAAGATCTTGTGGATGATGTGGATGAAATGGAAGCAGAAATCGCCGAAGAAGCACTATTTGCTGCGAATTTCTTGGGAGGTTTTGGAGGAGCGGATGAAGTTCTAGCCGCTAACCTGCAGAATATAGTATTGCGTAGTCTGTCGGCAATGGGGTGGGAAGACGTCGTCGAGCCCAATATTGATGAACATATGATGGGGCCGTATCATCCTGTCAGTAATACGGGCAGCTATCCAGGTCTAAGACAAGGTTATTCTGGTCCATCTGCGGAGGCTCTGC